ACCACTTCCTGGCCGTGAGCGTCGATTTCCATGATCAGGCGATCGACCCGTCCGGAAAAGAATAGGTAAGCAATCAGCGCCGGCAGCGCGACCGTCATACCTGCCGCGGTGGTCAACAAGGCCTGGCTAATCCCGCTGGCCAACAATTCTCGCTGCCCGGCAGCTTCTCCATTAGCAGCAATTGCGTTGAAAGCACTGATCATCCCAAGCACCGTCCCCAGCAAACCAAGCAGAGGACTGATGGTGCTAATGCCGTTGAACAGTCGCAAGTATTGCCGCAATCGCGAAGTCGCTCGTTCGCCGGCGTCGAGAATTGCCTGCTCGACTTCCACACAACTGCGACCCCATTTTTTGACCGCCGCGGCAAAGACTTCCGCGACAGGGCTTTGATTCTCTTCACACAAAGCAAGGGCTTGATCTTGATCGATGCGACCTTCTTTGACTTGTTCAATGAAGCGTTTCACAAACGGACGAGGAATCACACGTCCGCGACGCAAACTGATGGCACGTTCAAAAACGAAAACCAACAAGATGATCGAGCAAAGCCCGATGGGGTACATCAGAAGTCCGCCATCCCGAAAGACCTGCAGCAAGTTCTTTGTGGGAATCGGATCACCTTCGGTAAGCGCCGGCAATCCTTGCGGTAGCGGTGCCGGTTCGACAGGCCCTTGTGCCGATGCGATCGCAGGCAAGCCTACGACAACCATCGCGAGCAACAAATTCCAACCGATGACTTTCGCGAAATGTGAGGCACGAATCCATTCTACCCCAGGACGAATCATTTACTTGGTCCTCGCTGCTTCGAGTTGAGCTTGTTGCGTTCGTTGTCGCACTACGCTCAGGCGTGTTTCCGCCTCCGGAGCAAAAGGCGTTGACTCGAAATCAGTGCGTACTTCCGTGTAGTACTGATTTGCCTTTTCCCAGTTCTCTTGAATTTCGTGGCACTTACCGATCTGCAATAAGGAAGCGGCTTTCCATTTTGGAAAACGATCGAATGAAGTCGCGACTTGAGCATAGGCTCGGATCGCCGCATCGTAGTTCTTCTGATGGAAGAACGTCTCACCGATCATCCACTGAGCCATTGCAGCCGTTTCGCTCTTTCCGGCAACCGTTGAATTCACCACTTTGGTGTAGGCGGCACGGGCCTGTTGAAATTCACCTTGGCGGGCCAAGCAACGTCCGATGAGATAATCAAGCTCGTGAGAGTGGGCGAAATCAGGGTATTTGTCCCCAATTGCAACCGCTTTCTCGTACGCTTTGTCCCAATCGTTTTGATGGGCATGAATTTGAGCCAAACGCATTTCGGCGACCGGCAAACTTTCCAGCGTGCGGCCTAAATTGTCGGTCAGTAGCTGCTGGAACTTCGTTTGAGCTTCGGCGAACTTTTCCGAACGGAAGCGAGCCTCTCCGCTCCAGAACATTGCCATGCTATGCAGCGGTTCGTCTGCGACCGA